CATTCTGGTATTTTTTAAGTAAGTTAAAACTCATCTGTGTGCTTACATTTTCTTGAGTATTCTGGACCTCTTCACATACTGTGGTGCCTGCTTGTCACAGATTTGTGTCTGTGTTATTAGTGTACTTTCATTTTAGTGGGGCTTTATGGGGAATGAGAATATCTGATACGTTTAATAGGAATACTCAGCGCATTGTTTTATGTCTCTGATTTGTACTTCACTTGTTAGAAATAACTGACTATACAGCACACAAGAACTTAGAATCCCTTTAAAAATTTTCTAAGAAGTTCATTTGCTTTTTCTTCACAAAGCAGTATGCTAGGGCCAGGGTATGGTTCAGCAGTAGAGCACTTACCTAGCATACATAGGGCTGTGGGTGCCGTCCCCTCTACTTCCCAGAAGAAGAAGGCAGTGACCTGGAGTCTTACTCCTTTAAAGCAAGTGTTAATGTTTATGTGACCTAGGAACCTGGTTTTTTTCAGTAATTACTAAAGAGAAAAATATTGTAATCTCTTTTATCTTCAAAGATAATTTGTAGTATATCTTGTCTCATTATATATTGAGTTCAAAATTTTTAAATTTTGAAGTAAGGCTAGATCAAAACTAGTTGTATTTTTTAGCTGTGCTTTCAGTCCATTTTCTCTTTAATTAAAGAGAAAGTATGTTTCTCTTTAAAGAAGTATCTTTTTTAAAGTTACTTAGGGCTTTTTTGAGAGAGGGTCTTGATACGTAGTTCAGGCTGGCCTTGAACTCACTATGTAGCATGGGTTGTCCTTAAACTTATGCCTGTCCCGTGTATCAGTACTGGAAGTTACAGGCATGCACCACCACACCTACAAACATGTTTTCTTTTTTTTTTTTTTTTTTGGCAGAACCAGGGATTGAACTCAGGGCCTTGCACTTGCCAGGCAAGTGCTTATGCTACTGAGCTATCTCCCTGGCCCCATGTTTTCATTTTGTAAGTAGCCTTTTGGTGGTGTTTTTAAAAGTAAAATATCTTGACAGTATTTCTAATAATATTAGTATTTGAGTAATGTTTTAATACAAATTGGGAAGGGGACATGTTTGATTTTTATATTATAGACACCAGTAATCAAAGTATTACCTCAAACTATTTGTCTTTTAAGTTTCAAAAATTTACTTTTCTTCCACCTCATATTTTTTGCCTTGTTTTACTTTAGTGCTTGATTCTTCCAATTACCAAATACTTATGTGAATTGAGATAATCATTAGCACTTATTGGTTATATATATAGAATAATCACCAAAATTTTATATAACTTTTTTAATGTCTAATGGCTATATTTGACACTATTGTCACATAGTTTACATAGAATACTGATACCTCGAATGTTTGCTTTTCCCGTAGGCATTTCCGGAGAGTTCTCTTGCGGTCCCTTCAAAAGGATCTACATGAAGAAATGAACTACATCACTACAATAATTGAGGAACAGCCCAAAAACTATCAAGTTTGGTAAGTTGTACATATGCTAATAGTATTTGCATGAGATGATAGGGAATTATTTATTTCTTTAGTACTTTACCTTGGAGCTCATTTTACCTTGTCATAGGGTTGCTAAGATTTTTACGTGGGTAACTGTATATTTAGTTCTGACTTCCTCCAAGCCCCGCACCCTGATGGTTCCACCACTTCCAGTAGCATCATGGAGTGGAGACCAGGCTTTTAAAACATGGATGCTGGGACATATTTAAGATTCTGTAACACCATTATCACTATAATAGGGTTTCTCCTGACAGCAGAGTGAAGGGTTGTGTAAAATAGATTCACAGTCATGGAGGCTCAAGCTGTTGCAGTGATGTGGATTAGAAGAGATGAAACTTATAATGTGGTGTAGGTATAGGAGAGATAATAAGGTTGGAGAGAAAATTCTGAGAGAAAAGCAATAGTTTTGTTGTGTTTGAGGGGTTTGTATCTATTTTATTTATTTATTTATTTACTTACTTACTTGATATAGGGTCTGTACTCAGCTGGGACTCATAGTGATCCTCCTGTCTCAGCCTCCCCAGCACTGGGATTACAGGCATGTACCACCATGCCTGGTTCCAGGCTGGCATGGCATGCAGTACTGAGGATTGAACCTGGGTCCTTGCGCTTGCTAGGCAGGTGCTTAAACTGCCGAGCTCTCTCCACATCCCAATCAGATCTTTTTATGAAGAAGTAGTTTAGACAGTTTTCAAAGAATTAGAATATAATTGATCTAGCAGTGACTAATTCACCATTACTTGACAAATCGTGAACATAGTAGCTATTATACAGGTTTTCATTTGTAGAACAACTTTTGTAAATAACTTCATCACTGTAATTTCTTTTTTTAACTGGATTATTGTGTTCCTAAGAAATTACATTATAAAATAAGTTCATAAAGTAAGCAAAGCAGACTACCTGCTTCTAATCCCAGTAGTCTGAGAGGCTGAAATAAGAATTCACTGAATTGGTGAGAACCCTGCCTTTTAAGAAAAAAGGACATAGAGTATAGATTAGTACAGGGTCTCTGGGTTCATTCTCCAGGCCTGAAAATGTATTTTTAGTGAGAAAAGTCATTTAACTTGATTAAGGTGTTTATTTATTTATTTTTTTATGTATTTGGAACATGGTATAGGGTCTCACTATGCAGCTCAGACTCAGTGATCCTCCTGTTTTCAGCTTCCCCAGAACTGGGATTACAGGAGTGTAACACCATGCTAGGTCTCGGTGGCTGGCTCAGCATGCCCAGGGGCAGTGTGGCCTGTGGTGCAGGAGACTGAACCCCAGGCTCTGTGCTTGCCTAAACAGGCACTTAGTCCACTGAGCTATCTCACTAGCCCTAAGGTGCTTTTATATAAAAATATGTAGCTATAAAATTTATAGACAGGTAGTCTGGAGAGTCAGTAGTGGCAACTGGTGCAATGATGGGGGTGGATTACCTTGTGACCCCAGCGTTGCTGCACTGGGGCTTAGAAGCTTCTATTTCTCTGAAGATCCAGTACAGCCTGTTTCCTTCCCGGAGGAGAAGACACTGCTATGGAAACCAGAGCGCTGGCTGGGTGGGGATTATGGCACGGGGTCCCAACTGAGCTCTTTCCTGATGACCTTTGCCTAGAACTTTTCAGCTGCTTCTTCAACACAAGCCTCTCTGTCTTGCTGCAGGAGAAAGTTTTCCATGGTCACAGCCTAGATAAGAGACATAGGTCTCAGGTAGCACCAACTGCTGACCCACTGTCTTGATGACGTTACTCATGTGTGCCTTCCCAGCCCAGTTCCGGCAGCCCTCAGTCAGTGGCCTCTCTCAGATCACCAAAAGCCTATATATCAGCAGCAAGTCAGCTGTCAACAATAAGCTCCTACTGTCCAGCAATCAGATCACCACAGTCATCAATGTCTCTGTGGAGGTAGTGAACACCTTCTATGAGAACATCCAGTACCTGCAGGTGCCTATGACTGATGCGCCCATTTTGTGTCTTTATGACTTCTTTGACCCATTGCTGACCGCATCATTCAGTGGAGATGAAAGAGGGCCGCACACTGCTGCACTATGCCGCTGGAGTGAGCTGCTCCGCTGCCTTGTATCTTGCCTACCTTATGAAGTACCATGCCATGTCCCTGCTGGATGCCCACACATGGACCAAGTCTTGCTGACCCATCATCTGGCCCAACAATGGCTTTTGGGAGCAGCTCATCCACTATGAGTTCCAGTTGTTTGGCAAGAATACCGTGCACATGGTCCCTTCCCCAATGGGAATGATCCTAGATATCTATGAGAAGGAGGTTTGCTTCATGATTCTGCTGTGAGCCAACCTGCCAACCCCCTTATTGGGATCAACAGTTTAGATCTGTTGTTGATCCTATTCCAAGATCTCAACTTGAACATTCTATTTTTGTTGACACAAAAAACAAACCAGGGCTGATGAGATAGCTCACTGGTCTAAAGCGCCTGCTTAGGTAAGCACACAGGGACCACAGTTTGATCCTTGGCACCACATGCTGTGCCAGCTCTGCTCCCAGGGTGGGCTTAGCTATCCACAACAAAAAACAATAACAACAAAAATAGATAAATAAGGGGCCGGGGAGATGGCTCAGTGGAATAAGCGCTTCCCTGGCAAGTGCAAGGGCCTGAGTTCAATCCCCGGTTCCGCAAAAAAAAAAAAAAAAA